ATGTCTATACGTTAACTTTCAATTTCAATAGTCTAGAAAGTATGACAAAGCAGTAATTCCCGGTTTAACGTGCAAATATGCAAATTAGCCTTTTTCTCGTCTTCTATTTTTGGTGAATTCTTGGGTTTTAAAATAGCTGATAGACGCTTTGGCCATTTGCCTCGAAATTTTCACATATTATTGACAAGGTGTTCCCCCTTCAAAATGCGTCCGGACAGTTTATTACGGCGAGTGGAACAAAAATAACAAGTCCGCAATTAACATGGATATATAAATTATGCAAAAATAGAAAAGAGTGAACTTTGAGGTCATGCTGTGCGACTTTGAAAGCCGTTAGAGAGATGAGTGGACGCATTTGAATCAGTAGTATATCAAGGTATCCAGTGATGTAATTTTACCCACAAACGGACTTGAAGTTTTTAAGCTAATTTTTTTAAACCACTTTTGTCCAAAAAAGCATATTTTTGACCCAAAATCAAAAACGCATTCTGGATATTTAAAATAAAGACAAGTTTTACAAAGTTTGTATAATAAGCTTTGAGAAAATATATAACATGTTGGATATATAATACCATCTTCATTGTCTAAATACTCAATTAAAAAGCAAGCCAAATAAACTGCATCTCTACCTTAAGGTAGATGCAGGTTGGGAGACTATATTTCTAATTGCCTCTAATTACTGTAATTACATGAGTAAAATATACTTTTTACCAATCAAGTTATATATCATTTGAAAGAGTTTTATTTAAACTTTTGAGTTTTATGGTTTACAATAATGTACAATGCTACCATATTAAGTGGTGTTGATTTTGGGTTAAAATCATGCATTTTAGGTGAAAGTGCACTTAAAACTATTTAACTTTTGAATGCATACCCTGATTTTAATTTAGGAACACTTATTTAAAACTTCTGTTTACTAGGAACATAATGGCTTATTTATTAGTGTTTCCATTAAAAAGTTTTTACACAGTGCTCTTTGAAACATTCACATTTTGTAAATCGTTAACAGAGCCGCTAATTGGCATCTCTATTGTTTCTGTTCCAGTGAAGACAGTGAAACCATACGAAGCCATTTACTTACGATAGACCTGAATAATGACCCCTGAAAATTTCATTGAAAACAAATTAACCGTCTAGAAGTTAAATAGTTTTAAAGTTGAAATTTTGAGTAAAAAATGAAACTGAGATAATCGCCATTTTGTAAAAAAAAAAGTTTTAAAGCGAATCATTCGCTTCATATGTGTAACAAAAACTCCTAGAAATACACTATACATCGTAATTTGCCGATGCTAAATCGTCAGGTAAAAAAATAAAATAAAAATATTTTCGAGGGAAACGGACGAAAAATCGTCCGCAAAGTCTCAACCTTGCATGAAAACTGTCATGGCGTTGTGTTATCAATTCCACTGAGGGAGGGACACAATGAATTACGTAAAGCCGATGACATATTCATACAGTTATATAAACATAGGGATCGCCATTGGGTGGGTTGATTCTAAATTTACCTTTCCTAAAACCTTTAAAAAATACTTTGTATGACGCAGTTTCCGTGGACCGTGCGAAGTTACACGACCAGGTTGAAATGGGCCCTAATATTTTACTACACAACGGCTATTCGCAGTTTTTACTACTCAATCACCCAAACGCCAGTGAAACAAATTCGAAATAAAGTCACATTGGAAAGAGAACTAATGTAAATCGACCTGGAAATGCCTCATTCATAGAGTTCCTTAGTACCAGAGGTCGCCGATCACGACCATACAACGTAGTTTGCGACATCGCTACCGGTGCATGCTAGCTGACAAGGGGGTTCCCGATTAAGGTAATAAAGATGGCATTGCACAGTGTATGATTTTTCCGCGGTGTTTAAAAACAGCATCTCATTGCCGATTTTTCGGTAATTTCCAGGGTATTTTTTTTTTATTTTTAATTAACCAAGCATTTTATGTTTGTGTATTTTGACACTGAAAAGTTATCGATGACAGCAACAGCTGTGTTGTTTGTCAATTGCATCGCAATTCTATCAGCACGATAATCATTACAGCGAAACAAAAAATGTTTACTTCAGTGTTAAAATGCCGTTGGAGTAACAATTTGTGGAAACATTTTTTAGTTTCGCCCACAATGCGAAAAAGTTTGAAATCTATGCACCAAGAAAACAAAAGAAATTGTGGCCTTGTTTTGCGCGAAAATTAAATCGCCCTATCGACGCTACCTCCTACATAAAAATAAATGAAAAATCAATTTATTTAAGGATGAAAAAGTTTACTTATCAGTTACAAGTGTATGTTTTGTTTCATTTCGCTTGCATGCTGGAAGCGTCTACGTCTTGTCTGTTTTTGTAGTTTGCTAGTTGATCACGCTTGAGATAAGTAAACAGAGAGCCAGGACAGGAAGTCGCACACCGGCTGCTCCGTAACTGAGGCCAGCAATTATTTGCATATAACATATAACATCAAAGAGCAACGCAAACAAACTTTCGGGACTTTTAATCACATATGCGTGCCTCGATTCCCTATATTTTAAAATTGATTTTTGAGTATGTTCCAGCAATGACAATGCTCCGAAATTTTAACACTATCTAGCCAAGACTGTCTGGGTAAGAAAAAGCAAAAAAAAAAAAAAATTCACGAAAAGTGCCCACGAACCTGCATCTCTATCTTAATATACATTTTTGACCTGTTGACTGTTATGATTCTGATGAAAAATCTTG